GATTCGCGCCCCAGCGCCGCCGAGTTCACGGCGCACTGGACCGTTCAGGTCGCAACGAACCTCGACGTGGAGGCAGAGGCGCGAGGGCGGCCGCGAGGGAAGTTCAGACCGGACGGCAAAGAGACCATGCAGTCAAAGCTGCAGGCAGCGGAGAATCGGCCTGCGTGGGGCGCGGGCGAGGATGAGAGGGCGTGCGCTGGCAATGGGGCGCTGGGCGGTTTTGCGCGGGAGGTGGGAGTTGACGAGGCGGGCGCGGTGGATGCGGCGTGGGCGGCGATTCGACAGCAGCCGTGGCTTCCCGCGCGCGATGACGAGGTGCCCGCGGTGGCCCAGTGCGACCGCATTCGCAGGTCGCCATCGGCCCTGGTCTACAAGAATCTTTCTTGGAGGGGCACGCGCGGGACCGTGGGCCGCGGCCCGAGGGCGAGCTGGCTCTGGTTTCGGCGGCATCCAGCTTACAGGCGCTCGGTTCGACAGGGGCAAAGCACAGCATGACGAAAAGTGGGCTTTGGGGCCCGTTGGCGTCGGAGAGGCTAATTACATGGGCTGCGTAGTTTGTGAATGCGTGGGTCACGATGCGCTCTGGCGGCGCCTCGCGCGGCCCGCCGCCTTTGGCGTCGTCCGCGATCGCGGCGGCGATGGGCCGCGCAGTAGGATGCCCGCGGGCGGCGACGGTGGCATCCGTGGGCGCGGCAGCGGCGCGCGCCAGGGCGAAGTACCCCGCCGTGCTTTTGTTCCAACCCGCGTGGACGACCTCAGCGGCTGGCGAGGGCGGTCGCGATCTGGGTGGCCGTTGCGCATTGGGGCCTGATGCCTGTGATGCGGTAGCGCTGAGACTGGCCAGCGCGGCAGTGGCGCCTCGCAGCTCAACAGTGACGGCGCCGGCAGTTGCCGTGCCACGCCTCGCCCGAATGGCCGCGCCCATTTCGCCCGCGACGGCGATGATGGCGCTTGGGCGATGGGCGGCGGCGCGCGCGTCCGTGAGGGAGGTGTTCGCACCCTTATACCAGATCATGAAAACCCAGCGTTAGGCCTGTTGTGGCGCGCACCATTGATGGAGGCGGCGCCCGAGAACTGCGGCGTGAAGTGCGCGGGGGGGTCTCGGCCACTGCAACGGCATCGGCTCTGTGGAGGATCGTTTGAATCGAGGCGACGGCCAGGCACGACATCAACTCTGTTTTGGCGAAAGGTACCTAGCCTCGTTGGCTTCGAACTGGTAGAGTGCGCCGTCGACGTGAGACGGCGTTGCCTTGGTGGCTTCGGGAGCGCGGCGCAGGACGGGGACGGCCATTTCCGCGCCAGGATCGTCGGTGTTGCTTCGGGCCGAGAGCGACGATGGCGAGGGGGGCGTCTTGTCGGCGACCCTGCGAGAGCAGCCGCTCGCCGTCATCTCGGCCGCTCAGCGAGATGCTGGTTATGAAGGCGTCGTCTGCTGCGTTTCGCGATGGATGCGCACTGGTTCAAGGCCGATTGGCGGGTAGCCGCGCGCCGGTGGCGGCTGTCGGTCCAGCTGATATTGTGTTCGCCGCGCACGCGCTGCAGGCTGATCTTGGGCTGCTTGATGTCCTGCTCTTTGGTGAGAGCGACCGTGGCGAGCTCGTCAGGGACCTCGTTGGCGAGCTCGTCGTGGGCGCGAGGGGCGCGGTCTGCACGTCCATCGCGGGGGGCGGCGATGCGCGCGTCCTTCCAGGAAAACTGCAGCGTTTGTTCGGCGGCGCGTGGGCTCCGCGACGCGTCGGCGCGGGCCTTTTGCCACATCGCGCGGCGCGAAGGTTTGTGCCAGTTGGGTTTGCACCAACGGCATAGATCCTTAGATTGGCCGTGTGAACTTGAGGAGGGCCCCATGCAGGTTGGCATCCTCTGGCTGCGTGCGCTCCCCAGGGTGCCGGAGCACACTCTGGAGACATATACACATATATATATATATATACAAGACTGCACTGGCGCTGCGCGCCATGCACCTTGGTCCTTGAGTTTCGCAAGCTAGCGGAGTGCGTGCGTGCGTACATGCGCGCGCATCTGCGCCCATACGTACACGTTGCATTTGTGAATATGATTGTACGCGTGCAAGGGTATGTACATGTATGCGCAAATCGTTTGCGCAGCCCTGGGCGCGCATGCACATGCGCATCTCGGCAGGTCTGCAAGAATGTCTCAGGCGAAGAAAGCGGGAACACTATGGAGCAATGCACTTCCGCAGTCGGAGTTGCGAGGAAATCCAAAGCGAAGCGGGTTCGACTATTGCTTCTTCCTCATATTTTTCCCCTTGCTTCGTTTGCTAGCTGGGTGGTAATCGTTACTTCTCCTCCGCGTTCCTTGATCTGCTCTTCGTTCTATTTGTCCTCGTATTCTTCTGTGCCCGTTTCATTTCCCCCCTTCCTCCTGCTTCTTCTCCTGTTTCCCCTCCTCAGTCCTGTGCCGATTGAGCTGAACCGGAAGAGCTGAAGAGGATGAGGAGAAGGAGGAGGAGGAGGAGGAGGAGGAGGAGGAGGAAGACGAGGAAGAGGATGGGGACGACGACAACGACGACGACGAAGAAGGCGACGACAGAGAGAGGGGATAATGAGAGGGGGGGGCCGCTGTGTTGGGATCTCGCGGCACGCCTCTCGTGGGCCTCTGGGAGGCAGTGTTGAAGCCTCTTGGGGGCTGTTCGTGGGCCTCTTGGGATCTTTTTGGGGCCTCTTGGGGACCTCTTGGATGCTCCTTGGGACCTCTGGGGTGCCTCTTGGGCCCTCTGGGGGCCTCTGGGGGCCCGCTCGCGGCGGAAAACTTACGTTTTGAATTTTTGGGCGCCTCTTGGGCCTCTCTTGGGGCCGTCTTGGTGCACTCTTGGGCCGCCTTGGGCGCCTCTTGGGCGGTCTTGGAGCCCTCCTGGACCGTGTTGGGGCCTTTTTGGGGGGGCCTCTTGGGCAGTACTGGGGCGATCTAGGGAGCCTCTTGGGCCGCGTTGGAGCGTGGAGAAGCGGAAAAAGCGAGAAGGCCAAAAACATAGAAAAACACACAGGAACATCAACCATTTTAGCCTCTCGGGGCTCTCTTGGGAGGCCTCTTGGGGGTCTCTTGGGGCGTCTTGGAGGCCTCTTGGGCAGTCTTGGGCCCATATTGGGCGTTTTGGGCCGATCTTTGGGTGTCTCGGGGCCCTCTTTGGCCGTCGTGGGGGCTTCTTTTTTCGCGTCGGACTCGCAGGACAGACCTGCCTGGGTGGTCCAGGAGGACCGGAGATCCACGGAAGCACTCTGCAGGAACGCCCCAGAGGCTCGGGGAGGCCGAAGTTCGTTTGGGGGGGGGGGGGGGCACCGTGTGCCGCTTTTCCGGGGTCCCCGGCCCTGTGTATATATATATATATAGAGAGAGAGAGAGAGAGAGAGAGAGAGAGAGAGAGAGAGAGACAGAGACAGAGACAGAGAGTGAGAGAGAGAGAGATAATGACAGAGAGCGAGAGAGAGATAATGAGAGAGAGAGATAAACAAAGACAACAAGTGGGATAAAGGAAGGGACAGAGAGAGAGAGAGAGAGCTATATCAACCAACGAGAAGCAATACATATATAGAGAGAGAGAGAAACAAACAAACACATATATATATATATATACATAGAGGGATATATATATATAGAGAGAGAGACATAGAGAGAGGGAGAACGAGAGTGCGAGAGAGAGAGAGAACAAAACAAGATAGTGAACCGTATACATGCACATTTATATAGGTTGAACCACAGAGACACACACCAAACATACCAACACAACAAACAGAGAGAGAGAGAACACAAAAGGAGAGAGACAGGGGAGGACACGTAGTTGGATGAGGAACGTCGGAGGGAGATGGATGATGAACTGTGGCGTTATGGTTTGGGGGCCGCTGCGAACTATTAGAAGTTTCATGGGTTTTGCCCAGCCGAGAACTTTGAAATGCGGCCGAAGTCGAGTTACCGGAAAACTCCTTGACGCATCGCTTTCGATGCGCAAGGTCAGCTTCTTCTCAACGGTGGTTCACTGGCTCGCGCCGCACTGCCGACCCTTGGGGAGCCTAGGATGCCACCCTCCCAGCAGGCGTTGCAACAGAAGCGTGTTGGCGGCGTGCGTCCATGTGGGAAGCCCCACGCCGCATTCAGAACGGACCCTGCGGGGGGTCCTTTGGGAGCCGTTTAAGGGGGCCTCGTATGTACCTCTTGGGGGCTTCTCGGGCCTTGCTGGGACTTTCTTGTGGCCCCGTTGGCAGTTGCGGGGGCCCTCTTGGGGCACAGGGCTCGACATGTCAGTTCCAGCTTCCCCTCTTGGGCCTCTCCTCGGGCCCCCTTGGGTCGTCTTGGGCGCCTCGGGAGCCGCCTTGGGGCCTTCTTGGCCCGTCTGGGGGACCCTGGGGAGCCTTGCTGGCCATCTGGGGGCGGTCTCGGGGTCTTGGAGGCCTTCGTGAAGGCTGTGAAGACACAAAACACAAACATGTCAGAAAAGGTAAGTTTCTCGAGCTGAACGATGGTTGGCTCTTGGGGCCCTGATGGGAGTTCTTTGGGATCGCTGTCGGGGCGTCTTGGGGGCCTCGCCTGTGGCGTTGTCCTTCCGCCCGCTCGAGGACGTGGGTTTCGCATGCCTCCTCCTCCTCCTCCTCCTCCTCCTCCTCCTCCTCCTCCTCCTCCTCCTACTCCCTTTTCTCCTCCCTCTTCTCCTAGCCTTCCCCTTCGCCTTCTTCGTCGTCGTCGTCCTCCTCCTCCTCCTCCTCCTCCTCCTCCTCCTCCTCCTCCTCCTCCTCCTCCTCCCCCTCCGCCTCCTCTTCTCCCTCCTTGTCTCCACCTCGTCCTCATTTCCATCCTCTCACACCTCGTCCTCCCTTCCTCCCTCCCCCCCCCGTCCTCGTCGTCCTCGCCGCTGCCGCCCCCGTCCTCGCTCCACCCCCCGTCCCCGTCCCCGGGCTCGCCCCCGGCCGCCCCGCCCCGTCGCCGCGCTCGTGCTCCCCCGTCCGCCCCCCTCTCCCCCCGACGCTCCCTCCGCCCGCCCCCGACCTCCCAGCCGCCCAGCGCCCGGGCGCGCCGCCGGCGCGCCCCGCGCATGGCCGCGGCAGAGCCAGAGGCGCGCTACGGGCGCCCGTGCAGCGTCGCTGGCGGCCCCGCCCTGGCGAAGACCAGCCGGGCCGGCCGCGGCAGCGGCGGGGAGCACTGCGGCCTCCAGAGGGGCAGACCCGGAGAGATCCTGGCGCGGCAGTTGTTTCTCGCAGCGGGCGTTGTCGCCCCGCGTCGGGCCCCGCGGGACCCTCGCAGATCGATGCGGCTCGAGAAGTGGCGCGGGAAGGTGGGGTCCAGGGCTCGGGTCGCGATTTTTCGCGGTGTTCCATGTGTTGTTGCAGCGTCGGATCTCGGGGGAAGTTGCTGATGCCGCTGCGCTTGTCTTGGGGAGCCTCCGTCGCCACGGCAGGGTTCGCCTCGAAAGCCATGGCCAGAGCGAGCCACGAAGGGGGCCCAGGGAGTAGAGGCACGGGTGCCTGCCTGCCTCCCCAGGCTTCGGGGACGCGGCGGGCGGCGGAGCGCTCTGGCTCGCGGAGCTGGGCGGCTGCCGTGCGCTGAGGGGAGGCGGGTGGAGGGTTTCTCCTCCTCCTCCTCCTCCCTCCTCCTCCTCCCTCCTCCTCCTCCCTCCTCCTCCTCCTCCCTCCCTCCCTCCTCCCTCCCTCCCTCCCTCCCTCCCTCCCTCTCCTCCTCCTCCTCCTCCTCCCTCCTCCTCCTCCTCCTTCTCCTCCTCCTCCTCCTCCTCCTCTCCTCCTCCTCCTCCTCCTCCTCCTCCTCCTCCTCCTCGGGTCGCCTACGGCCCCGGGGGAACCCGTGCAGAGGCCGGTGCCTGTCCGCGCGCGGGCACCGCGACCGTGCCGGCCTTGCCTGCGTCAGCCGCGGCAGCACCGAGCTGGAGGAGCTGCTGGGCGACCTCCGCCGCGCCGGCTCCCCGGAGGGGCTGCCCTCGCTGCCCTCGCCGAGGCCGGCCTCGGTGTGCGGCGGCAGGCGCCCGCCGCCGCTGCTGGCCAACTCCTTGCTGAGCGCGCGCGCCAACACGCGCGCGGAGGAGCTCGACCGCATCCTCGAGGGGCCCGGGCGCGGCGATTCGAGGGCCGCCGAGGGCAGGGGGTCCCCCGGGAGCGCGGGCTCCGTCAGGGGCCCCCCCGGGCCGGGGGCCCCGTTCGACAGCGCGGCGCGCTTCCAGAACCTCGAGCTCGACATAGACGCGGCGCTGCTCGGGCAGGTCGCGCGCCTCGCGCCGGGGGACGACGCGGCCGGCGAGCTGTGGGCGGGCCAGCAGCGCCTGTTCCTCGTGCCGATGCCCGCGCACCCGGCGGAGGTCGTGCTGACGCTCGCCCGCGAGGATCGCCGAGAATCAGGAGGGGCAAAAACACACAGACACAATGAATCGTCGATTCCCAGGAAGATATGCGAAGATATTGGAAGTGGGGGGAGACGAAAATCCAAAACATATGGAAAAAGATAGGGAATCCTAGGATTTGTGTGTATTTATTGAATCGCTTCGCTCATTCCGCGGGCCCATATTGCGTGCCGTTGTCGATTGGCAGAGCGGTCTTTCGCGGTGCGGAGCTGCAGGGGCGGCGGTTGTTGTTATCAGGCTTTGCGTTCGGCATGTGAGGTTTCTTGGTGGCCGCTGGGGGAGTCTTGAACGCGTCACGGGCCGTCAGGAAGCGTTTTGCCTATGGGGACTCTTTCGGGAGGCCTCTCGGTGGCCTCTCTGGGGACTCTTAAATTCTGCAACGCGTCGGGTCGTTGGCACTTGCGCGCTCGGGGGGGGGCACTTTGGGGGCCTCCTGGGACCGGTTGGGGGCCTCCTGAGAGCCTGCTGGTTGGGGGCCTCTTGGGGCCTCTTAGGGGCCTCTCGGGAACTCCTGGGGGCTTCTTAGGGCCGAGGGCTCGAACTGTTGTTTCGTGTTCCCCCCCCCTGGGGCCTCTTTTGGGCCGTCTTGGAGGCCTCTTGGGCCGTCTTGGGGCCCCCTTGGGGGCCCCTCGGGCCCTCTTGGGTCGATCTCGGGTGCCTCTTGGGCCGTCTTGGGGTGTCGGGAAGCCGAAAAGATGGCAACGCCCAAATCTGTCCAAAGCCCGAGGAACAAAAGCACTGATGGTTGCCTATTGGGGCCCTCTTGAGAGTGCTCTTGGAGGCCTCTTGGGCCGTCTGGGGGCCATCTTGGGCGTCTTGGAGCGATCTTGTGGCATCTCGGAGCTCTCTTGGATCATCTTGAGGCCGTCTTGGGCGCCTCCTGGGCCGTCTGGGGGGCCTCCGGCATCTCTGACGGGCACTCGCCGGGGCCTTGCTGGGGACTTGCCGGGACCTTGGCGGGGTATTTGTCGCGTCGGGGTCTCCAGGGGTCGCCTCGCGCGCGCGAACTTGTTATATTTAATCGCTTCGCTCATTCCGCCGGCCCTGGAGCCCTCTTTAGGGCCTCTTGGGGTCCTCTTGGGGACCTCTTGGGAGTCTCTTGGGGCTCCTTGGCGGCGTCTTGGGGGCCCCCAGGGCCTCTTGGGGGTCTCTTGTGGGCCTCTTGGGGCGGGAGGGGGGGTAGTCGATTGCGGCTCCCCCTCGGAGGCCACGATCCTCGTGAGGTGTGTCGAAAAATTGCCCGGTCCGGGGACTCCTCCCGGACTTTGCCCGGGTTTTTTTTTCGCCCGGGGACCCCCAGGGGCCGCTCCGCGCGCGCGAATTAGAAATATTGTTAACCACGAGATCTTTGAACGCCTCTGGCCCGTTGGGCCGGCGAGTTGTTAGCTTGTTACCGGGGATCTTAGCACGCCTCTGGCCCGTTGGGCCGGCGAATTTGCGTGTCCCTGGGCCCCTTCAGTGAAGGAATTGCGTGTCCTTTCCCAGGCCTAGAGGTTGACACCAACACCAAGATCAGCGGTGTGCCTCCACCGAGGGAAGACGATCCCGATGTCGGTGATGGTGGTAATATTCTGGCTTCCAAGGTGACCGAAATATTACCACCAATACCGAAATCTAGGATCATCTTCCCCCTGTGGAGGAAAACCCCCTGTGTTGGTGTTGGTGCCCGTTTCCAGGCCTCCAAGTCCTGAGTTTTCTGTAGCAGCTGCTGGGGCTCCCAGGCCCACAACGGGCCCGGGGGCCGCCAGGCAACGGCCCAGGTCAGTCCCGGGGGGGAGGGCACGAGGGCCCCATCAGTCCTTGAGGGCCTGTCGACGTTTCGCCAATCGCTTTGTGGGGATCGAGCCAGACAGGTCCAGGTAGGTGCAGATAAGTCGAGGTCAATCCAGGTAAGCCCAGGCACATCGAGATTAACCCGGGTACATCCAGGTAAATCCAGAGATCTTCAGGGAAAGCGGGAGCAATTCGCGGCCGCTCCAGCGCGAGGCGAAGGACGGCAGAAGGCGCTAAGCCTTCTAGTGAACGGCTCAGGGCCCGTGTCCTTCGTGCCCTGAGGAGGGCGGCCCGCTGTCCATGTTCGCGTCGCTGCGCCCGTGGCCGCGCCCCACGCCCAAGATCCACGACCTGGAGGCCGACCTCGACGGCCGCGGAGGGGCGCGCCTGGTCCACGTGCACGGCGGCGGCGAGTCGAGCGGCGGCGAGCGGCCCGAGTCCCTGCACGTGTGCGTGGCGGCGGGGGGCGACCGTGGGCTGGCCTCTCACGACCACCGTCACTTACGGAGCATGTGCTCGTTGCGTGCTACCCCGCCCCGAACGGAGCCTCGGTGTCGGTGTTGGAGGTCGCCGCGGCGATCGCGGCGGCCACGAGTCGGGGCAGGGTTCCTGTCGAGGAGTGGCGTGTCCCTTCTCAGCCCCCCCCTCGCTCTGCGCTGTAGACGTGGCTGACAATCAGCAATCTAGCGGCAGAGGGTTGTCAATGCATGTCCAACATGGGCACTCACGTCTTTGGTGTGAGAGGGGTTGGTGAAGTATCACGCAACCAGGCGCAGTTGTCTGCCGTATGGTAGGGCTTTTGTGGGCGTGGTCGGCGCCTCGAACAGCAAAGCACTGCCACTCGCCAGCCGCCCCTGGATTAGAGCGGTGGTGGTCAAGGTTGGCCCACCAGGCGATGCCGCCCGCTCGACCTTCCGGCTGCAGTGCGCATTCACCCGTGCGCAGAGGCGCACGAGCAGTGCGGCGGGAGACGAGCACGGGCCCCAGGGCAGGATCGCGCTGGGCTCAGGCGCCGGGGCGGAGCAGCGCTGGCTGCAAGACGTCATGGCCCGCCTGCGCCAGGACTCGGAGAATGAAGAGGTGCGAGAGAGCGCGCCACGGGAGACAGGGAGGGGTCTCCCCTCAGCTACCGCACCCTTGGACCTCGCCTGTCGGATGCCCCCCTCCCCTCCACCCTTTCTTCGTGCTCCAGAAGCTACCCGCCCCCCTCCCTTGGGCACCCCTGCCGGAAGCCCCCCCCGTGTAAGAGTTTTAAACAAGTGCCTTGGAGCATGCAGTTTGTTTAGTTAACTTGCTAACAGCCGTGCAAGTTCAACTGAAACGTCCATGTTTCAGGACCTCCGAAAAAGACTGCTATTTAATGGCGGCCTTGCAGACGGATTTTCTTGCTGGCTGCCTTGCAAAAAGGATTCCTGCTGCAACGGCTTTGCAACCGGACGTCCTTTTGTAAGGTAACAGCCTTACGCAAGGACTCCCTTGTGGTCACATAGCACACAGCTTCCCATGTGTAACGGCCTTTCAGAAGGATCATCTTTGTTGCGGCCTGACATACAAAAGGAAGTCCTTGTCGTGACGGCCTTTCAAAAATGATTCCATGTGTGGTGGCCTTACAAAAGAATGTTCTTTTGTGGTGGCTTTGCCACAGGATTCCGTTTTGTGTTGGAGGAAGCCAAGGAAAATAAACACAGAACACAAAAGTGCAGCACCCAATGAAATTGTGAACACTCTTTTGTTTTGATTATGTTGGTGCTGGAGGCTGAAAAGATGGTGAAAACATAACGTTATCAGCCATCGAAGCTCCCAAACGGTATAAGCCGTAGCGTTTTCAGCAATCAGAGCTCCTAATCGTTGTGTTTTACAACGTTGCGCAGCTCCGATGGCTGAAAACGCTGTGTGTTTACAGCGTTTGGGAACCCCGATTGCTGAAAGCGCGGTGTTTCACAGCATTTGGAAGCCCCATCCTCTCCCACACCGACGCACGCGAGCATACCGTGCAGCACGCCGGCATCGACCTCCAGGACCTCCCTCCCCCCCTCCCTCCCCTCAAAACTCATAACTTTTTATACATATGTCTCGCATTGCTTGTTGTCCAGACACGCCAGATGTCTGAGGCCAAGGCCTTGCCCACCTGGTATTGGGTAGGCACGGACGATGACCGCAGCAGTGGACGTATCGTATGGCTGAAAACGTTGTGTTTTCATTGTTTTTTTCAGCCTCCGGCACCACGACCACTTAAACAAAACTCGGGGGAGCGTAAGACCCGGGTTTGCCAGGACTCGGGTTCGCCATCGTTTTTTGACGACCGCGCCTCGGATTTTGACGAGGAGGAGTTTCGTGGGATGTCTGCAGCGGGAGGCCTCGTCAAAATGCAGGCTCGGCCTCGTCATTTTTTTGACGACCTCGTCGGGGATTTCCGAGTCCCCCGTACCCGGGTCTTACGTCTCCCCGAAAAACACGCAGTTTTCACAGTTTCATTGGATTTTGCATGCTTGTATTTTTCTTCATTCCTGGATCACCTCCTATTCACCAACAGGAGGGAAATCCTTTGGTAAGGCTGCCACACAAGGAATCCTTCTGTACGGCCGCCACGAAAGGAATCCCCTTGTACGGCCGCCAACAAAGACATCCTTTATTGAGGGTGTCACAAAAGGAATTCCTTTTGCAAGGCTGCCACAAAAGGGAAGACTGTTTGTAAGGCCGCTGCAACAAGAAATTTTCCAGTAAGGCAGTGGCAATGCAAATCCTTATGTAAGGCTGCCACCGAGGACATTACGGTGTAAGGCCGCAGTGCGCACAAAAGGACACCCTTTTGCAAGGCCGCACAGCATGAAATCACTGTGCAAGGTGGCCACAACAGACTTGTTTGCAAGGCCGCTACAAAAAGGAAAATATGTTGTGAGGCCGCCACAAGCAATCATTTTGCAAGTGCGCGCGAAAGGAAATTCTTGTGTTCGCTCGTTACAGAGAGAATATGTTTGTAAGGCCGCCTCAAGAACACATGTAGCTAAAGGCCGTTGCAAGGGGTATTATAGTGCAAGACCGCCGCAACACAATATTTGTGCAAGGCCGCCACAAACCGAAACATGTGTAAGTCCGTCTCGCAAGCAACCAGATTTTTCGAACGCCGCCTGGGCAGAACAGCGTTATGCACGGCTGCCACAAAACGAATATGTTGCAAGGCCGCCGCGCAATGGTATTTGCCCCACGTCCTAAGTTGGGCTCTCGTTTTCTCTGCACACCTCGGCGCAGGATTTCCTCCCACTCTCCCCTCTCTCTTCCACCTCATCACCATCACCATCACAAACGTTGCCACACTCATCATCATCAGTACCACCATCATCGCCAGGTCCTTCCTATTCATTCACAATCATCAGCACATCGGGGGTGGACAAAACCCCCACCCTGACACGTCGATTAGTGAATTGTTGCTTTTCGGTTCTCGAGAGGGCGCCGCGGCCGTCGTTTTCCAGGCCTGCGCCCGCCAGAGTTGGGCCCGAGGTCGTTGTCATAAACCACGTTTTGCTAAAAGGGTTCCTGCCCATTTCCGAGCACCCCACACACACGCACACACACACACACACCCTCATTTCCACATCATCATTATCCACCATCATCATCAATCAACCACCACTATCACTCACCATCAGCATCGCTATCATCACACACTCATAACTACCACCCTCCCATCGTGATCATCGACCAAGAGGGAGCTTCGTCTGTGAGTGAATTGCGAAGAAGTCTCAGGCGGGGGCCCCATCCCTGTGGGGTCCACACTTCACATTGGTAGTCCGAGCGGGCCATCGTACATTTACAGTTGTCGTCATGTTTCGGCTCTTTCGGATTGAATATGGAGGAGGCCTCAGGCGGGAGCTTCGTCGATGAGTGAATTGCGAGGAGGTCTCAGGCGGGAGCCCCCACCATATGGGGTCAACAATTCATGTTGGTAATCCGAGTGTGTCATCGGATACTTGTAGATGCCGTCACATTTCGGCACCTCTGGGTTGAAGATGGAGGAAGTCTCAGGCGGGAGCTTCATCTGTGAGCGAATTGCGAGGAAGTCTCAGGCGGGAGCCCCCTCCGTATGGGGTCCGCACTTCACGTTGGTAGTCCGAGCGGGTCATCGGGTATTTGTAGATGTTGTAATGTTTCGGTTCCTTCGGGCTGAATATGGAGGAAGTATCAGGCGGGAGCTTCGTCTGTGATGTGAGTGAATTGCGAAAAAATCGCGGGAACCCCCGCCCTATGGGGTCCGCGTCTTATGTTGGTAGTCCGGGCGGGTCATCGGAAACGTGTAGTTGTCGTCAATGTTCGGCTCCGTTGGATTGAAGATGGAGGAAGTCTCAGGCGGGAGTTTCGTGATTGAGTGAATAGCGAGGAAGTCTCAGACGGGCCCCCTCCTTCTGGGGTCCGTACTTCATGTTGGCAATTCAAGCGGATCATCGGAAATCTGTAAGTGTCGGAAATTGGGGGGTGATAGCGCATTGGAACGGAGACCCCCAACCAGGAAATCGTTTCGTTTCGTTCGCGTCGTGCATGCGGGCGAGGCGAAGCTGCGTGGGCGTACGAGAGGAATGAGCCCGCCGTTGCCAGGGCGAAGTCAAGACAAATGATTCTGCCCCGTCCGTCCGTCCGTCCGGCGGTGGCTCTAGCGGTGTCCCGCGGTGTCCCGTGGTGTCCCGTGGTGCTCCGTTGTGTCCGCCGTTGCTGGGGCGAAGTCAAGACAAATGATTCTCCCCCGCCCGCCCGTCCGGCGGTGGTTAGCGGTGTCCCGAGGTGTCCCGTTGAGTGAGATCGATATTGAGATCGATATTGAGATCGATGTGGCGTCCCGTGGTGTCCCAAAAATTGATATCGATAGTGAGACCGATCGTGAGATCGACAGGTATCCCGTGGTGTCCCGTTGAGTGAGATCGATCGTGAGATCGGCAGGTGGTGTCCCGTGGTGTCCCGTTGAGTGAGATCGATCGTGAGATCGATATTGAGATCGATGTGGTGTCCCGTGGTGTTCCGTTGAGTGAGATCGATATTGAGATCGATGTGGTGTCCCGTGGTGTCCCGTTGAGTGAAATCGATAGTGCGATCGCCAGGTGTCCCGTGGTGTCCCGTTGAGTGAGATCGATAGTGAGATCGATGTGGTGTCCGGTGGTGTCCTATGGTGTCCCGTTGGGTGAGATCGATGGTGGGATCGACAGTGAAATCGATAGTGATGTCGAAAGGTGTCCCGCGGTGTCCCGTGGTGTCCCGTTGAGTGAGATCGATAGTGAGATCGACAGGTGTCCCGCGGTGTCCCGTGGTGTCCCGTTGAGCGAAATCGATAGTGAGATCGATAGTGAGATCGATGTGGTGTCCCGGGGTGTCCCGTGGTGTCCCGTTGGGTGAGATCGAGAGTGAGATCGACAAGTGTCCCCTGGTGTCCCGTGGTGTCCCGATGATTGATACCAATAGAGAGATCGATTGAGTCAGATGTTGGTTCCCCCCTTCTCCCCCCCCCCCACAATCTCCTTACCACCCGAAGGGTGGTCGCATGGGTAATTGTTCGGCCCCCTTGGATTGAATATGGAGGAAGTCTCAGGCGAGATCTTCGTTAGTTAGTGGATTGCAAGGAAGTCTCATGCGATAACCCCTGCCCTATGCGGTCCGCATTTCATGTTGGTAGTCCGAGCGGGTCATCGGACACGCATCGTTGCCGTCGCTTATGGAGGAAGTCTCAGGCGGGAGCTTCGTCTGTGTGTGACTTGCGAGGAAGTCTCAGGCGGGGGGCCGTCCCTATGGGGTCCGCACTTCATGTTGGTAGTCCGAGCGGGCCATCGCAACTTTATATCGGTCGTCATTTTTCGGCTCATGGAGGAAGCCTCAGGCGGGAGCTTCGTCTGTGAGCGAATTGCGAGGAAGTCTCAGGCGGGAGCCCCCTCCGTATGGGGTCCGCATTTCACGTTGATAATCCGGGCGGTCATCGGAAACTTGTACTTGTCGTAGCGTTTCGGCTCCCTTGGATTGAATATGGAAGAAGTCTCACGCGGAGGCTTCGTGTGTGAGTGGATAGCGAGGAAGTCTCAGGCGGG